AGGTTGAGGTAGTGTTCCCTTAATTTCCCGAGTGAGGAAAACTTCTCGGTTGGAGACTTGGAAAATCCAAGTCATTGAGTGGGATCGGCTATATGAATCTTAGAACGCCATTGTGTTCTGTCCTGTGTCATGTCCTCCGTTAGATCCAAGTACTCTAAGTCTTTTCTTAGGGTCTCTTCCAAAGTTTTCCTAGGTCTGCCTCTACCCCTTCAGCCCTGAACCTCTGTCCCATAGTCGCATCTTCTAATCGGAGCGTCAGTAGGCCTTCTTTGCACATGTCCAAACCACCGTAACCGATTTTCTCTCTCATCTTTCCTTCAATTTCGGCTACTCCTACTTTACCCCGGATATCCTCATTCCTAATCTTATCCTTTCTCGTGTGCCCACACATCCAACGAAGCATCCTCATCTCCGTTACACCAATTTTGTGTACGTGTTGATGCTTCACCGCCCAACATTCTGTGCCATACAGCATCGCCGGCCTTATTGCCGTCCTATAGAATTTTCCCTTGAGCTTTAGTGGCATACGGCGGTCACACAACACGCCTGATGCACTCTTCCACTTCATCCATCCAGCTTGTATTCTATGGTTGAGATCTCCATCTAATTCTCCGTTCTTTTGCAAGATAGATCCTAGGTAACGAAAACGGTCGCTCTTTGTTATTTCTTGATCTCCGATCCTCACCCCTAACTCGTTTTGGCCTCCATTTGCACTGAACTTGCACTCCATATATTCTGTCTTTGATCGGCTTAGGCGAAGACCTTTAGATTCCAACACTTCTCTCCAAAGGTTAAGCTTTGCATTTACCCCTTCCTGAGTTTCATCTATCAACACTATATCGTCTGCGAAAAGCATATACCAAGGAATATCATCTTGAATATGTCCTGTTAACTCATCCATTACCAACGCAAAAAGGTAAGGACTTAAGGATGAACCTTGATGTAATCCTACAGTTATGGGAAAGCTTTCGGTTTGTCCTTCATGAGTTCTTACGACAGTCTTTGCTCCTTCATACATATCCTGTATAGCTTGGATATATGCTACTCGTACTCCTTTCTTCTCTAAAATCCTCCAAAGAATGTCTCTTGGGACCTTATCATACGCTTTTTCCAAATCTATAAAGACCATGTGTAAATCCTTTTTCCCATTTCTATATCTTTCCATCAATCTTCGTAAGAGATAGATTGCCTCCATGGTTGAGCGCCCTGGCATGAACCCGAATTGGTTGTCCGAAACCCGTGTCTCTTGCCTCAATCTATGCTCAATGACTCTCTCCCAGAGCTTCATTGTATGACTCATTAGCTTAATACCCCTATAGTTCATGCAATTTTGTACATCGCCCTTATTCTTGTAGATAGGCACCAAAGTGCTCGTTCGCCACTCATTTGGCATCTTCTTCGTTTTCAAAATCCTATTGAAAAGGTCAGTGAGCCATGTTATACCTGGCTCTCCCAAAACTTTCCACACTTCGATTGGTATATCGTCTGGGCCTACTGCTTTTCTATGCTTCATCTTCTTCAAAGCTACAACCACTTCTTCCTTCCGGATTCTACGATAAAAAAAGTAGTTTCTACACTCTTCTGAGTTACTCAACTCCCCTAAAGAAGCACTCCTTTCATGTCCTTCATTGAAAAGATTATGAAAATAACCTTTCCATCTGTCTTTAACCGCGTTCTCTGTAGCAAGAACCTTTCCATCATCATCCTTGATGCACCTCACTTGGTTTAGGTCCCTTGTCTTCTTTTCCCTTGCTCTAGCTAGTTTATAGATATCCAACTCTCCTTCTTTGGTATCTAGTCGCTTATACATATCGTCATAAGCCGCTAACTTAGCTTCTCTCACAGCTTTCTTCGCCTCTTGCTTCGCTTTTCTATACCTTTCACCATTTTCATCAGTCCTATCCTTGTATAAGGCTTTACAACATTCCTTCTTAGCCTTCACCTTTGTTTGTACCTCCTCATTCCACCACCAAGATTCCTTTTGGTGTGGGGCAAAGCCCTTGGACTCTCCTAATACCTCTTTTGCTACTTTTCGGATACAACTAGCCATGGAATCCCACATTTGGTTAGCTTCCCCCTCTCTATCCCACACACACTGGGTGATTACTTTCTCTTTGAAAATGACTTGTTTTTCTTCTTTTAGATTCCACCATCTAGTCCTTGGGCACTTCCAAGTCTTGTTCTTTTTTCTCACTCTTTTGATATGTACATCCATCACCAACAAGCGATGTTGATTAGCCACGCTCTCTCCTGGTATAACTTTGCAATCCTTACAAGTTATACGATCCCCTTTCCTCATTAGAAGAAAATCTATTTGTGTTTTTTACGACCCACTCTTGTAGGTGATCACATGTTCTTCTCTCTTCTTAAAGAAGGTATTGGCTAAGAAGAGATCATATGCCATTGCAAAATCCAAGATAGCTTCCCCATCCTCGTTTCTCTCCCCAAAACCATGGCCACCATGAAAACCTCCATAGTTGCTTGTCTCCCTGCCCACGTGTCCATTTAAATCTCCTCCTATAAATAACTTCTCCGTCTGAGCAATTCCTTGCACCAAGTCTCCAAGGTCTTCCCAAAATTTCTCCTTCGAACTCGTATCCAACCCTACTTGAGGTGCGTACGCACTAATCACATTGATAAGTTCTTGTCCTATTACAATCTTGATTGCCATGATTCTATCTCCTACCCTCTTGACATCTACAACATCTTGTGTCAAGGTCTTGTCCACGATGATGCCAACACCGTCTCTCGTTCTATTTGTGCCCGAATACCCTAGTTTAAACCCTGAGTTTTCTAGATCCTTTGCCTTACGACCAACCCACTTAGTTTCTTGTAGGCACATAATATTTATCCTTCTCCTCACCATAACTTCTACTACTTCCATAGATTTTCCCGTCAAGGTTCCTATATTCCACGTTCCTAAACGCATTTTGCTCTCTTGAACTCTACCCTTCTGTCCTAGCTTCTTCACCCTTCCCCGTCTAATAGGATCAAAGTACTTCTTTTGTGTGTCCCGTGTAAAGTTGATAGGAGCATATGCTCCCAAACAACTTTGAGTGGAGTCGTTCGAAAAGAAGTTTCTATAGCCCCCTTGCTCATTTAACACTGCATCCGGATGCCGATGGAGATACAGCGACCCATGCTCACTTATCACTGTGCTCGGGCCACACAGCGCGCCACTTACGGGTGACGCCCTAGCTTTAGCGCGATTTCGTTCTGGATTCATTTTCATAAAGATTCGACATGATCATGGAGTGCCGGCTGTCGACTACCTGACGCCCTCCCCCTCCTCCTTTATCCGGGCTTGGGACCGGCAATGTAAGATAAACTTACACGGCGGAGTTACTTTCATACCTAATAGCTATGCAAAATTTAGAAATTGACTGCCAATCATGAACTGGTGAACTTCTAAAGAGTTACCATAGATTGTTTGGAAAAAAGTAGCAGAATTCATGATAAATTGACATAAGCCTTGTCGCTGGTATGCACATTGAAACAATGAATGGTATTTGTGTCTGGTCAACATTCCATTCAAGAAACTTTCCCTCAAAAGAAAAAAAGCTCCTCTGCTAGTGAAGCAGTGCCCACCTCAATAACCCCAGCATTGAACATCCAATAAATGACAGTATATCAGCTATACATACCGTGTGGAAAATTAAAAATTCCAGTGCAATGATGAGTATGTTGAAACCCCCCATAGGCCCCGCTCCTAGGAAGCTTAAATCTCAACCAAAGGCATTCAACAAAACTTCATCGCATCTTCTCGACTACATCTCTTCTTCCGTGAAAGTTACTTTGAATTTTAAGAACATAGCCACTCCACTACCCATAACCAAGAAACATAATTAACCTAAGCCTCTCATCAGCCTCTCTGTGTATATCCTACACTAGGAGCAAAACATAAATAATTACTATGCCGTTCTATACAGATACATCAACACTGACATTTCACATACCGATTTCTCAGTCAAATCCAAATAACCATTTCCCGTTTGGGGGTTGTAGCTTACACATTAACAGATTGAGAAACTACTTAGACAATTAAAGCAGAGACATAGGACAGGAACTATAAACACGAACTCAAATCATGAACTCATATACAAAATTTTGAAAATTTGAATGACAATCATGACGTCGCGAACTTCTAAAGAATTAGCATATCTTGTTTGGGAAAAGTATCAGAATTCTAATGAATTGACATAAGCCTTCGCAAATTTATGAACAATGGGACAGTGAATGATATTTGTGTCAGGTCAACATTTCAATGATGAAACTTTACCCTCAAAGAATAAACAGCTCCTCTGCTAGTCGAGCACTGCCCACATCATAAGCCCCAGCAATTCTCATCCTACTAATGACATTGTATAAGCTACGTACCATGTGGAAAACTAAAAAAAAATATTTCAAGCGTGAAATGAAAATGATGAAAAACCCCATAACCCCAGGCACCTTGGCAGCTAAAATCTTGATGAAAGGCCTTCAACAAAACTTCATCACATTCTATCCCGAATACATCTCTTCTTGTGTGCAAGTTATTTCAAGTTCTAAGAACATAGCCACCCGACCACCAGTAACTTAGAAACATAATCAACCTAAGTCTCTCATCAGCCTCTAAATATATATCTCATACTAAGACCAAAATGAAATATAAATACTGTGTCGTTCTATACTGATACTTCAACACTGACATTTCACATACCGGTTTCTCAGTCAAATCAAATAACCTTTTACCGTTGGCCGGTTATAGTTTACACGTTACAGATTGAGAAACAACTTAGACAACTAAAGCAGAGACTAAAAACCCCAGTTACCAAGAAATCGAAAGAAACATTGGACAGGAACTATAAGATGTAAACCTCCAAAATCACTTTTTCTTCCTCAATTTTTTCAGAAACCGACGCGAATCAGAAGAAAAAAAAAATCCATGTAAACAAACATACAGAAGCAAATAGAGCTAACAAAAACAAATTTGAAAAAAAAAAAAAGGTAAAAATGCTTACTTTGCTATCAGTTGGTTGTCTCTGGCAAAACTTTCGACTGCAAACCTTACGAAACTACGGCCATAACTGTTGTTAAAGCAGCTAAAATCCAACCTATCACCATTTACAAACAAGAAATTGGCATCTTTAAAGTACCCTTCTTTGTACAAATGGCTCACCACCACTTCCATATCCTGCGACAAATCTTTCAACATATTCGACCTCTCTTTCGTCAACTCTTTCCGCTTCCTACCGCTGCCGTCCGCCGCAGCCGCCGCCTTATTCGTGAACACCGAGTATAAACTGGCCTTACCCTCAGAATTGGGTTCTCTCTTCTTTGCTTTAGTTTCGCCATTCGAATTGGCTCGCAAGCTCCTGACCTCCTTCTCCAAATCCCTCAAGCTCTTCTTCAATGCGTTGTCTTCGGCTTCTCTGTCAGAGTTTTCGGGTTTTGGGGAGAGTTCGACGGCCTCTTTGAAGAGTAGGTCCAGAGGCTTTCTGGGTTTGGTTTGGTTCTCAGTTTGGTGTGAGGAGGTGAAGAATCTGCGAGCGATGGAGAAGAGTGAGAGGGGTTTGTGGATTGTTTGGGAAATGAAAAGAGGGTTTTGGGGTTTAAGGAGGAGGACGGTTCTGAAGGGAGACATTGGCGATGGGTTTAAGGGGTTGAAGAAGTCTTTTGGGGTTTTTCTCGGGGATTTAGAGCATCTCGATACAGCGTGTCAAAATTCTAGGATAGCACCAAACCATTTGGAATCAACTCAAGCTAACTCATAAGAAATATATAAAACGGAATGCAAGAACAAAATATAAAAGATACTAAGATTTTAACGAGGTCCTCAACAGTCAGTGTAACTGGAGTACGTCCTCGGAGTAATAGGAGCTCACCCAATAATCCACTACCAATCAAATGAGAGTTTACAAAGTGTTGGCAAGCTCACAACCCAAATCCCCAATACAACCAATAGCTCTCACACACCAAAGAAACAAATAGAGAAAGAAATATAGTGATTAATTTCTTTTCTATACAAAGATCAAAGCTATTACAACAAATAAAACTTTGATGGAGTAAGAACTAAACAATAAGAGGGCACACTTTCTTCTTTTCTCCAAAATGGAGCAACTGAAAAAAAAACCAATTTGTGCTCTCTATTTTTCTGCTACCATATGGCTACGAAAACAAATGGTGCTCACTCCTCTCTCACTCATTCGACTACCACCTTCAACCATTTTGAAAGCACCAAAAAACAAAACCAATAATAAGGCTACTTGCTAGCCTTTACCTTTTTTTTCTACAAACATCATCATTACCCTTTTTATCTTTTCAACAAACATAATAATGTTGTCTATCTCCTTTTGTTTATTTTATTTAGCCGAAAGTTGTTTTGTCATTTGACCATAATTCAACACTTACACAATATCGTAATCATGATTCATATTACAACATAACCTCGTTTGAGACTGTAATCGTTCAAATTTACACTCTAAAGTTACATAATTATGTTAATGTTATATTAGTTACACCAAATGACATTGATATTACTATACCAAAGTTACCCTTTACAAAGTGGATAAAAGAAGCTAAACAAAGTGGACAAGAAATGTTACATTCCAAAACCAACATCTGCAAATCAATCCATCTTAAGATTAACAAAGGTGCTTGTGTGATTTACAACTTCGATGACAGAATCCGCTGAAAGAGCTTAAAATTGCATTTTACACAAGTTCAACCCAACAACTCCTAGAACCCCTCTCAAGCATTAGTTCTTTGTATAACCCATCGTTATAGACAGTCATCTTAGTCAAAACTTTACCGTTGTTTAACAAATACTTGGCCACTTTCTTCACATGCGGGTATCCCTCGAATCCCCTTACAGTGATGGTTTTGAGGTGTGATATCAGACAAATAGGTACAGACTCCGGTGTACTCCATCGATTCTCCGAGTATAAGACATCTTTCGAATAACTTTCAGTCTCGTCGTAATTCTTAACACATTCCTCGTCCTGAGAAAGAACAAATGATTGAGAACAATAAATAGCTGCAGGTTGGTATATATGACTGCATGAGTGGAAATACATCTTACTTTTTTATGTTCGATGACAAGAGATTCCAAATTAGGTGATTTCTTGAGCAACTCTGTTAGCAGATCCCAGTGATAGCAATCATAAAGAACCAACTTCAATTCGGTCAAATGATCGAAAGCAGGCAGACAACCCTCCTTCACGAAATATAAAGAATTGATCAAACATAAACTCATCATGCATAAACTAGACGCTCTTTCAATTCCCACAAATTATCAAATGCAGGCAGCCAATTACCCTTTGTGAAAGGTAAAACATTGATCAAACATATGAATTAAACATTTACCGATGCATAACGTACTATTTAACACCATCAATCGCCAAAACATAATACAGGTTTGAAATACAAACACTACTTTGGTACGAAGTAAGAATGATAAATAGGATAAAAAGAATGGAAAAATATGGCATGCCAGGGATGTGCTTTTGCCTCATCTAGTTTTTGATAGTGTAAGGATATGTGCAGAAGAACTTAATGTAAAAAAGGAAATGAGTTACGGCATATACTTACCTCCACAAAATGAGCGGAAATAGACAGACATTTAACATTGGAAAATGCCTCCAGAAGCACAGTTGCTCTTTCTGAAACCTCATCATCCCAGTATTGACCATAATGCTAATAGAGATCAACACTGCCTTTGACGAGGGAGTTTACATTCTCAAACAAATAAACAGACAAATCATCCTGCTTGATGTCAAGGTTTTCAAGCTTTGGGGCGTTAATAGAAATGTCGTACAAAAAATCTTTACCAACAATCATATCACTGAAGAAGGTCATTCTTAATCTCTTCAGTTCAGGCGCAGAGACATTAAAACTCAAAATTAATGCATCTCTAATAGTTGCATCTATAGACAAATCTTCAAGTACAGGGCAGCATGCGAAAAGCTTCTCCACTGAGTCGTCTTCAGGATAATCAACTTTGACATCAAGGAACTTGAGGCTTGGGAAACTGCTTGACGTAGGATGAGCATAGGTAATACAATTTGACTTCACCTTGAGAACCACCAGTGTTTTGCACATGAAAACGCATTGAGGCAACTCGAAAGTCGAACAAACTATATTATCACTATAAACACAAAGATCAAGTTCAACAACATTATGCCTGATGGCAGTGCAAATCCAACCTACAATACGAGAGAAATCTTCAGCACGACAGTAACAATGAAGTCGAAACTTTTGGATATCCAACGAGTCACGAAGTGAAAGTACCCTATCGACAAACATCAAAAAACCAACATAGTTCGACATATATTCTTCCTTCCAAGTAGTAGACATTTGTTCAAATTCGAAGTCTAGATTGGGGACAGAACCATATATACTCTTCCATCTTGTGGACAGAATGCTGGTCCTCACGGAATATTTTGTTGGAATGAAGGAGAGTATGTGACAAAGAACTGCATCCGGCAATTCACTAATCCTATCTTTACCCTTTGCTTGAGAGTTCGACTTTGAACACATTTTTATGTACCTGAATATTTAAGTAAAAAGAAAAAAGAGAAAAAAAAAAAACAAGTACAATCAATTAATTTACCTTGGCAGCTATCTTCCCATGAAATTCTACTATGTAGAAAGAAAATAATAATAATAATGATAATAATAATGTTGACAAACAGACTCGAGAAGAAAAATAATCGAAGGCAACATTTTCATTAAAACTCTATTTATTTAGAATTATCAACAGAAAACAAAGGCTAGATTTTGTTCACAGGGCAAGAATTGAACTTTATATTAACCGTTAATAATATAATAATAATGTTAACAAACTGTTTGGGATAAAATCTGAACTTTGGGCCAGAGAGAAAGTCGGCCCAAACCCAAGGCCCAGAGGAAAACTTAGGAGGCAGGAAAGAGGCTTTCGGCTGGGCACAAGTTACAAAGGCCACCTGCTTACCTGCTCAAAGACCACAGGGGGTAGGCTATCAGTCACTACACAGCCCAATAAAGTACTTTATTGGTGGCATTCATGTAAAAAAGCTAGTGAGTCATCACCAAACCGCATTCGGGCACCGCTATTGCTACAGGAACCCAAGCTGAAGTCGTCTATAAAAGGAGGAAGAGAAGACAGAATTAAGGACACTCAAACAAACAAACAAAAGCCAAAACTCTGCTCAAGCCAGATTTGCCTTCAACGAAGCTGTAGTCAGCACAAGCCTTCATCCCATTCGGGATAAACCTTCCCAAACCCCTGTAATAGCTCTGCTACCTTGTTCATGGTGGTAGCGATTCATTTTGTATCCTCTTCTCCCCCGTCAACCCCTCTAAAAGCTTTCAGACCTCTGACAGAGCCACAAAGATAGATTTTGTAAGAAGTTCAGCCTTGGCCGATAAGAACTGCCCGACGAGCCTTGCCCGAAGTGTGTCTTGCCCGACCAAGATTTGCCCGACAAAGGCTTGCCCGAGCGAGCCCGAGAAGAAAGCAGAAGTACGACAGATACCCTCAACCGACGCCATTCTCCCAGGGGAGCTGTGTGCTCGTCCGCCAGGAGATTCCTGCGACGAACATAGTTTTGGCACGCCCGGTGGGATCCTCTGATCTGAAGATAAAGATAAACATGCCAGAAGATTTACAGAATACATTGTTTCAAATGCTACAGAGACTGAATGAAGCCTCTCTAGGCTCTAGAAATGAGACAGGTTTGGCTCCTCCCAAAGGAGAAAGACACAGGATTACCCAACCAGATGAGGTAGTCATAGTCAAACTTGTGTTGCCCTTTTCTGAAGCCCCGGTAAACATGCTCAACATGACCTGGGCAGAGAAAGGAAAAGGGAAAATTATAAGGGAAGAAGAAGAAGGGAAACTAGCCAAACGACCTACGGAAGGGATAGGCAAACCATCCGAGTACCCAAAGGCTGCCATAATCAAAGGGCTGGTTATGTGTAGTAAATGCCAGTGTGAATGTGAACTCGAGATTCCCCTAGCTGGAGTCCTTATTGATCACGAGTTAATTAAAAGAGAAGCCCGCGAAAGGCTTAAGCAGGCAACAAGAAAAAATACTTCCCGAAGCGTTTTTCAACGTTTAGGAGGTGATTCCCAACCCAAGGCGTTGTCAGAAGTATTTCGAAACTATGAAGTTTCTGACGAGGCAGAGGACATGGAAGCCAAACTCCAAAGAAGTACAGAGCAGTTTCAAAATGGCCAAAAGGGGAAGGAAGTCAGAAGAACTGATGGGATAGCTAATCCTGTTAAGAAAGCAACTCCTGCATATCGTGGGCGGAAATGGTATGTAGTTGGAAAAGATGGGCAGCCCACCAGACCAATGGGAGCATCCATGGTCAGAAGGGTTCAAAGGCAACACAAAGCCTACATGAATTCCCTGATGACCCCCATCACCTCTGAAGCCTCAAAAAATCAAAAGCCAGAGAGGGCAACATCTGGAAGTAGTAGTCAGCTTCGTTGGCGAAGTAAGAAGGAAGTAGAAAGGGCCAACGGCAAGACGGAAGGTATGGGGAATCATGTGCCACAAAGCCAACATCCTGGCAAGTATAGGATCTTAAGAAGGGCTCAGGAAGATCTGACTATGATGCCAACACCTGGTTGGAGGCCAAGGCCCACCCATGAGGAAACTGTTGCATCTGAGAGGAGACCAACCTTTCTGCCTTTGG